GCACGAGAAAAAAAAACGTGCATGTAGTATAAGACTATGACCTAGGTGTGACGTCACCGCTAAAGGTGTTTCAGAACGCCTAGCAGATTTCAGTATTTTTAATATGGCGAAAATTTATATAATTTTACAAATAACCTTGTAAATACGACAATGTTCGTTGATCATGTTCGATGTCTACATAACCAAATTCATACTGTATTAAAAATGTGCTCAACTAAAAAAAATATATATACAAATTTACGATACTGAGTCTGAGCAATGGTCGTATATTCGTTGATGTTATTTATATACTCGCAAGTTGTGATCAACACTGGACCATACTGGTATACAAAACTACGCTTTCTACTTCACAGGTTTAATATAAGTAGCTGAGGAGATTGGAAATATTTGCCTGACATGACTGTGTTGTCAAAACATTTTTAGTCGGAGACTCGGCATAATTTTCAAGCTTCTAGATAGCATTTAATATGGCTTATATTTTAGTAAACACGAGTCATATTTAGCCCCGTTATTCCATTCTGACCGTATGGTAGCGAAACGTAGCCTATTTGATTGTTCCGACAACATTAGAGCAAAACTAATGACTTAATTATAAACGCAAAAGAAATTTCCATAGCATTTTCTCTTTACAAACGCGGTATGCTTGGTAACCTGGCCAGGGACCACTTTTTTTAAATCAGGGACCATTTTACCGAAATCTGCTAGGCTCTCTCGCTGAAGCGTTCCGCACAGGACACCCAGGCATAAAACTTTTAAGACCTATTTAAATATACCAAAGCAGCGAATAGAGAGAGAGCCTGGGACTAGGCTGGATGCAGACTGCAGGTAAGATTCTTAAAAAATTATCGTGTTACCATGACAACTACTTTAAATACTTTATGTTCGGAAAATACAATGGTTTTGTCAGACGGCGAGGATTTCTGCATGCATGCTGTATTTTCTAGTATATATTAAAAACAACAACGGTTCAAGTTTGCTTCTCTGAGGAATCCCACATGTCATTGTTTGATTAGATGACTGAGACCCCCTAGGGGCAGATATTGTTGTCTATCAGTTAAATAACTTGTAAACCACTAAAGTCGTAGTCCTCTGATACCGTAAGCTGCTAATTTATTTAATAATGTTTTATGGTATGGCAAACTAAACAGCAATGAATGAGAAATATCTCTGTATCGAAATTGGAACATTAGTGCGTCCAGTCACTGTCAAAATATAAAATATTGCCATTTCGAACTGTCTAATTCTAATCCTTTTAGCTTCACATATATTTCATGCAAACACCGTCATCATTGGCGTACGAGACAAGGGGGCAGGAGGGGGGAACTCCCCCCAAAAAAATTTTGGAAAGCCATGGAAATTCGGGCAAATGCTAGGAAAACTCAAGAAAATTCGGGCGAATTTATCAGAAAATAGGTTAAATTCAATTAATTTCATTACAATCCTCCGTAAAAATTGGGGCAAATTTTTAATTCCCCCCTTCCCCGCAAAGAATTAGCCGCGTATGCCAAAAACCGTCATATTTTTAAAAGCAAAGCGTTTATTTTTACCATAGACTGAAACATATTCGATATCCGTTTAATAATATCAATAAATATATATATATATATATATATATATATATATATATATATATATATATATATATATATATATAAACAAACAAAAACCCAGTTTTGAATGTTCATGCTTTCACTACTCAACTGTCTGTATCAGCTCACTTCAACTGATTGCATGTAAAACAACATATTTGCATTCTATTCAGTGCCTAATGGTATATAAAATCCACTTTAGTCTATGGAAATCAACGACGACCTTTATCGAGGTTCAATGTATATTTAACGCTTTGATAGGACTCTCCGGGCGAACTAGCAGCGTAGCTGAATCTGACAATTTCACATGTAGTACAGTACATCCAAAATATTTCCCCATTAAATTGGACCAAATCATTAATGTTTTTCTTGTTCGCATTTACTCGACTATATTCATCCATAAACCAACATGAACAAAGTTTTGCAAATGTTTGCTGACCTCAGTAATAAAGTAACACAGACCTCCTACTTAATGTCAATCATATGTGCCCATGTGACCATAGAAAGCTTCGTTCGTGGGCGAACGAAGTCTCCCAAAATTATAACGCATACCAGCAGGCGTTTATTATTACTAAGCCCACCTGATTATAATCACCTGTTCGCAGGCTATGGTAAGAAATTCAATGCATCTTTGGCGCAATAAACGTCATTCTTATTTTGTCACTGAAAAACCTGCCGGATATGATGTCAATAAATAAATGTAAATTAGGTTTTCTTCTTTTTTGCTACTAGAATTCACCTAATGCCTAATGGTATCATATCGAGTAACTGTGACAGTGAAAAAGACGCAAAAAATACCAAGCATTTTGATGACAATAATCATCATATTGCTTTCATTCGTGCGTTAGCATTCGCGCCATCCCTAACTTTAGTCTATTTTTTCTTTCTTTGTTATTGAATTTATTGTATAGCGAACTAAAAACTATGTCATCCTTCTTTATTTGCTCTTCAACATGGCTGGACTTAACCCACAGCAATTGCTTTTTAGCATTGTTGCTTTAGCATTGCTACAGCTACGTTGTGACAAAAATAAAATAAAATATTAATATAATAAGGGCAAGCTGCTAGGCATTGGAATTTTAAGGTAAAATGCTACAACTTTTCATTGCCTTAGAATGATACAAGCTACGACTCAGCAATTTGGACTGCAAAAGGAGATGACCAGACTAACTTTAATTCACAGTTCTGGAGTGCCAATGTTACAGATGTATGCTTGACCTCGGATGCTTTTAGTATTCAATTATCCGTTAATAATGTCCAGGCTCCATCACTTCGCAGTTTATTTTTTCAAAAGAATACATTAAATACATCCAATAACCTGTGGACTGATGCTTTGGAGGATGGTATCGCAGATCCAACTTTCGAGGAAAATTGTTATGAAACTGGTTTCAACGTTGGCGATCCGAATTATGTTCAGGCTCGCATAGGAATTGTCAACCTTAACAATCCAGGTAGGAGAGCTTTCTAATATAACACCGCGGAAAAACGTCTGCGCATACGCCAGCCTTACTGAAATTTGCCTTGCGAACGTGGTGTAAAGTGTACCGAAGGTTGTCAAAAACTCAAAATGGAAGCGACAAGGAGCGGCTTCGAATTTTGCCCTTTTCGTGAAATGTAAGGGGAACAATTAATGTGACAACCTAAAAACTAGAAATAATTGCAATCTACATGCGAAAGAAATAGTTTCATGCTAGATGAGTGGAAGGTGATTGCCAATAAATTTATTGTATACAAAGTTCCTTTTAATTTAACTGAACCATAAAAAAATATTTTTCGTAGGTTCACATAACCCACATTTTCCTCAGTACCTTTTTTGCGTAGAATCAAAAATTTTTACGCAAAAAATAATTAAACTTTATGACTCACTCGGAAGGCTTAGGATATTAAGAGCCTTATCCTCTTAAGAGTTTGCCAATTTTTTAAATCCAGACATTAGTAATGGATCATTTTACACAAAGCGCTCGATACATCTCCGTTTAAACCAGACTGTTTTATTTAATTTATACTTCTTTATACTTTAATGTTAGAGGTCTCATGATTAAGGTCTAGTATACCCGTTTTCTGTATTCTCTTGTTTGTTTCACATATATAGGGTGAATAAATAGCCAAGTTTTTTTCTGAGTTATAAAATTTAAACTGTTCGCCATTTTGCGCATGCGCAGACGTGTCTCTGCAGTGCGATCTAAAATGGACTGATGGGAATTTTCCTTGAGCATGCGCGAAAGCATGATAACCACGCTCCCATAAAAGGTGCACGCAATTTGCATGCAAAACAAATTTGTAACTGTTGTGCTGCAAACCAAATCACCACAAATATTGGTAAAAATTAAAAAAAGAAGTAAAATTAAATTTGTTCAAAATAGCATCTGACGAAAACCGTGGAAAAACGTATGGGCATGCGTTAACATTACTGAAATCTGTATTGCGAACTCGTGATGTCAAGTGTTCCGAATGTTGTCAAAAACTCAAAATGGAAGCGACTTCGATGTTTTGCCTTTTCTATGGAAATGCAAGATATTTTTCGAAAGTTCATATGATCAACATTTTTGTCACTAACTTTTTTTTCGTAGTATGTATCATTTTTGCGTTGACTATATTTAAGGTCAATGATTTACTCTACAATTTAATCGTGTGTAATTGCTTAACTATTCCATAGTTTTTTAACTTTTCTGCTTTAAGTTCAGTATTCGACAATTTTGCAAGAAATGTTGACACGCCTCCCGGACTTAAACGGTAATTTTTAATTTAAATTCTGTTTCATTTTAGATTTTAAATGTTAAAATCTTTTTATTCACGTCTAAACTACCCGTCTAGTGTATTTTTTTGTTTGTTTCAATTACATTAATCATTATATAAATAGCCATGTTTTTAACAACATAAAACGCTCACTGAGTTTCCAGCGATATACATACCCTTTTCTAGATATATACCTAATAATAATTATAAATAAACGAACGAACGAATGTATTCCTTCCACTCGTGAGCTCATTTACCACCTGCAAAGTGGCTATCAAGTGGCATTCACTTTGAACGTTCGTTCATGCGCAGTTGTTCAATCGTTCTCTTGTAATGGTTGAATAAATAAACCTTTGTGTGTGTATATTCTTTCCTTTTAAGTGCCCATCCAGGGTCACAAGGCCTGGACATTTACTATATGTGGCAATGGTAAATGAGCTCACGAGTGGAAGGAATACATTCGTTCGTTCGTTTATTTATAATTATTATTAGGTATATATCTAGAAAAGGGTATGTATATCGCTGGAAACTCAGTGAGCGTTTTATGTTGTTAAAAACATGGCTATTTATATAATGATTAATGTAATTGAAACAAACAAAAAAATACACTAGACGGGTAGTTTAGACGTGAATAAAAAGATTTTAACATTTAAAATCTAAAATGAAACAGAATTTAAATTAAAAATTACCGTTTAAGTCCGGGAGGCGTGTCAACATTTCTTGCAAAATTGTCGAATACTGAACTTAAAGCAGAAAAGTTAAAAAACTATGGAATAGTTAAGCAATTACACACGATTAAATTGTAGAGTAAATCATTGACCTTAAATATAGTCAACGCAAAAATGATACATACTACGAAAAAAAAGTTAGTGACAAAAATGTTGATCATATGAACTTTCGAAAAATATCTTGCATTTCCATAGAAAAGGCAAAACATCGAAGTCGCTTCCATTTTGAGTTTTTGACAACATTCGGAACACTTGACATCACGAGTTCGCAATACAGATTTCAGTAATGTTAACGCATGCCCATACGTTTTTCCACGGTTTTCGTCAGATGCTATTTTGAACAAATTTAATTTTACTTCTTTTTTTAATTTTTACCAATATTTGTGGTGATTTGGTTTGCAGCACAACAGTTACAAATTTGTTTTGCATGCAAATTGCGTGCACCTTTTATGGGAGCGTGGTTATCATGCTTTCGCGCATGCTCAAGGAAAATTCCCATCAGTCCATTTTAGATCGCACTGCAGAGACACGTCTGCGCATGCGCAAAATGGCGAACAGTTTAAATTTTATAACTCAGAAAAAAACTTGGCTATTTATTCACCCTATATATGTGAAACAAACAAGAGAATACAGAAAACGGGTATACTAGACCTTAATCATGAGACCTCTAACATTAAAGTATAAAGAAGTATAAATTAAATAAAACAGTCTGGTTTAAACGGAGATGTATCGAGCGCTTTGTGTAAAATGATCCATTACTAATGTCTGGATTTAAAAAATTGGCAAACTCTTAAGAGGATAAGGCTCTTAATATCCTAAGCCTTCCGAGTGAGTCATAAAGTTTAATTATTTTTTGCGTAAAAATTTTTGATTCTACGCAAAAAAGGTACTGAGGAAAATGTGGGTTATGTGAACCTACGAAAAATATTTTTTTATGGTTCAGTTAAATTAAAAGGAACTTTGTATACAATAAATTTATTGGCAATCACCTTCCACTCATCTAGCATGAAACTATTTCTTTCGCATGTAGATTGCAATTATTT